CCCCAAAACCCCAAAACCCCAAAACCCCTACTAATTCTATAAATTTATAAATATATTCACAATTCTAACATAAGTCATAATGGATAAGGTGCAGGAGGATAATACAGCTAAAGAAGCAGATAAGACAAACGATTTTACTCTGCCCAGTATCGTAAGGTCTTCCTAAAGCTGTTCTTATTTGTAGCGCAAAAATATCCCTGAAGCTCCCATTTTGAGTGATAAAAATGATAATAGTCCAGATATTTACGTATCAGTATAAATAAGCCAAAGCATCCCTCTGAGCAAGAAAGCTTAGAAAATGATGTAGATGGCTTTGAAGATGAGGCTGAAAAACGAATAAACATTAGTGATAACAACATAAATACAAGCAGTAAGACCTAACTGTGCTTTTAACCACCTCGTTCATATTTGTTGACCTTCTAATAGACATCGGACTTAATGAAGACCAAGACTCAGATGAAGAGAGCAAGATTGACCTAGCTCAAGTAAGACATTTTGGTTTGGCATTTAACCCAAATAATCACCAAACAGAAGCATCAGGAATGCTCTGAAGCATCATTTTTCTAACATTTCTATAGGCGAGACAAAACGAGCAGGAATTAGTTTTCAAGAAGGATGATGAAGAGCAAACGGCTAACTACTCTCATCTTAAGTTCCTTCAGCTGATAATGGACAAATCAACCAGTGCAACCAAGCATAAAGAAGATGAATTTTTCTTGCCAAAAGATCTTGGAATTAAGAGCTCATCCTCTTCTTCGAGCAGCAGCAGCTTATCAACCCCTCGAAGTGTTCACAAGAAATTCGATAAGGTGAAGGAGAGTTTTTCTTCCTCCAGCAGAGTGCTTAACACTCAGGGGAAATTTAGAAAGATCGAGTCAAGGAAATCCATCAGTCTTGGAGTGATTAAGAACAACAACGAGGAACAAGAGAAAGAACCAAGCCCTCCGCCAAAGGCGAGATTGAGTTTATACAAGCAAAGCACTCTTATGAATACCGATATCGACAGACTTCTTTGAAATGACCTTTTCGATAGTGAGGCTGCCACTCCAAAAATAGTGAACTCGTTTAATCACAAGCCGGTGACTGATCAATGGAAGTTATGTATATTTGAACTTGGCAAAGCACAATACCATACCTTTCACAACAAAATGATTGCGAATTATGACATCCCAATAGTACCCGAGGATGAGACAGTGATTCTTTGAGTAAATTTCTCACAAAAGGAGCTGAAAAGTTTGCTGAAAGACCGCCTCGAGATAAACCCAATCCTCTACTCAGAATGCATGCTACTTTCCCAGGTTGACAAAATCCTTGAGTTCAACGACAGAGCGATATTCTACAACATGGTTATCACCAGGGAGTACTTTGATGATGAACCGATCATCATCAGAGCCATCAGGAAGAAGAACTTTGCCGTAATAATCGTCAATGAGTTAGATAATGACTCTTTCAAGATCTCAGAGAATCTACCAAAGAAGTTTAAATTCAAGCAGATAGAGAATGCCTTCACTCCTCTGAGCTTGAAGGTCAAGAATTCTGTTGGTGGACCAAATCAGAACGATCCTCCTCTGAGTGAGGCCTCCTCGCTTTCGCATGAAGAGCCACAGCAGATCATCAAGAAAGGAGAGGTAGGCAATGTGATCATCCAACGGATGAAAACTCTGATTCCCAACAAGGGAAAAGTTACAATTGATTCCATTCTCTTCTGGATTTCTAACGAAGGACTCAAGAGAATAGAGAAGCTTATCAATGAAGACCTGCTCAGGGAGGTCAACAACATCCAAAACCAAAGCAGAAATCTTGGAATTGACAGCAAGCTCGAGTTTCTTCAGAAACTAGATATCTTCCAGAATCACTACATTGGAGCCCAGAATGAGAAGGAGTCCAAGAAATGATATTTCGAAGAGATTATTAAATCCGAGCTTCCCAGCCTGGAGTTTAGGTATCTGATCAGGCACCTTAAAAGTCGGATGACAAATCTCAATCATACAGCATTCATCATAGAAAGAAGGCTTGAGATGGCTAGGAACCGATTCGTAGCCTCTATAGATGCTAGTATTAGTAACTACTCAAGAGGTCTGGATTCCTTGATGAAGAAATTTGCCGTCATTGCAACAATCTTCCTCCCACTCCAGTTAATCTCAGGAATGTGGGGGATGAACTGAAAGGTCCCATTCCAAACAACTGATAGCACATGGCCCTTCTGGGCTCTCACAGCGGTCATGGTCATCATGAGCCTTGGCTTCTGGATCATTTTCAAAAAAAAGAAGTTCTTGTAAATCTAGCTAAATTTCAATAATCTTTCCTTCATGTGGGGTTTTGGGGTTTTGGGGTTTTGGGGTTTTGGGGTTTTGGGGTTTTGGGG